ACCACTGAACCTGTTTGATTGATATGCATTGTACTAGAATAGAGATCGACCGAGAGAATAAACAAAGCTAATGACTGTGGTAGCTTGTTTGGGCACGTGTTCGTGAAAGAGAAAGAGGCAGTATGCAAGACTGACTATGAGCAAATAGGTGAACATGAACAAATATCTGTGACATTGCTTTTTTTATTATTAAAGTGAACATATCCTTGTGACTATATAGGCGGAGTAATACCTACCTTAAATTCGCTCTCTATAAAACAGAAAGAGGACCAAGTGAAAATAAGATTTGAAATTGAATAATTTGCCATTTGTCTTGAAATACTAGCCAGCACGAAACGGAATAATTTTTGGGTGCTGTTCGCGTAAGAAGTCTGCTTAAAACGAAATATTTTATAAAGGCGACATTCAAATAAAATCGCCAGTAAAAGCGTGGATGTTCTAGTGTCGAAGGAAAGTGAACGACTACGAAGGCAAAAGGGACTAAATGTACGAACTTCGGGTGAACCGCATTCGTAAATGATCTGTCGGAACATGAGGCGAAAGTACTAATGTAAGGAATGTTAAATAGAATATGTGTAACGACCTAAAATCGTTTAGATGTAAGCTCCCCTAAAAATTCATACTTTTGCATTTCTTTCACAAAATACGAAAAAGATGAATACCATTTTTTATAAGCAAGTTGTATTTTTAGAAATAAGTTTAGAAATAGGTTATAAAATTTGTGGAGTTCATCTATCAGGGCAATTAAAGAGATGACATTACAATGTTTACTATAATTGTGCTCTTAATTAGTGATGAAACATGTATATTCGTTACGCGATGAGAGAAAATAAAAATGTTTGATTGAATTATTTTAATGTTACCTCATTCATTCAATCAGGCGTCAACTCTAATGAATGTCACAAAAAATGTAACAAATGAAGTAATGAAGTCTGAACGTTTGTTTTAAAATTGTTCAATATATTCCTTACTAAATCATTGTACAAATATATCTCAGATAATAAATATGCAATTTGCAATGTTGATATTGTTTCTTATCTGCATGCTCTGAATAATCTACGGGAAAGGAAATATAAAAAACTGCCGTGAAAAGTACCCTTCCAAACTCTGTGCTCCAATGTGCCAAGTGAGGCTCTTGGTCTGTGAATTTGTTTCATTGCACTACTAATTTGACGCAGGGTATCGAAGCTGTTTGAGTCAGCGAACTTCTCGTACATCTTGCCATCGCACCGAGCCACTGTGTACCTGCTGGGAGTGCTAATGGGATACATCTTACTACGAATTCCCCGAGACCTTAAACTTAAAGAGGTGAGCAACTGCAGTGCATCGTACTGATACTTATTTACATGAGGACTTAACGCTGTCGATGAAAATGTTTGTATCGTCTGTAATCATCAGGTATGTATATTCACATGATAAAATAGATATGTTGGTTCTGCAACAATGAATAAAGAAATATTTTAGAGTATTTCACAGAATAAATTTTATAAACTTCTAGGGTTTGTAGAGAGGTCGAATACGAATACTTTTGGCCAATAAACATGTGATGGGGAACACAACACAGACACACATCTGTCCTTTGCCCCTGGTTGTTAGGCAACTCCTCATGCACTGGTGTTCGGTAGATAAACAAACACATTGATAGCGCCCGAATGTGGCCCACCGAACACTAGTGCACAAGTTGCCTAACAATTAGAGGTAATGTAAAATGTATAACATTGTTATATGAAATTTCGTACCATATATTCATTGGGCGAATGTGATATCTTCGACATGCCTTTGAATTTGTAACATGTATTCTGACTCGCCTCTACGTCGTCTGTGCCCAGGAAAAATGGTACACTTAAACAATTGTAACATTTCAGAATGGTTTTGTCTGCAGCGGAGCCGTTTATTTTGCGTTCAAAGAAAAAAGGGTTTTAATATCGACGGTCTTTTGGACAATCTTTACGACATTTTTCTTAGCAAAAATATATTATTTTATAACGATATGTGGACATAAAATACTTACATATTGATGTGGGTGACTTCATTGTTAAAATATTTTAAATCATTCAATTAAGAAAAATCGCAAACATCGATTGCCAGTTATAACTTTTCTCGTATATTCTGTTATCTTCCTCACAATAAAAAAACTTAACACGATATACTTAGTTATCTGTGGTAGATCGGATCGGCTGAAACGAGTCGAAACATATTTCTTTTAATGAGGGCAAAATCAATTTACGCCACCCAAGCTAGTGAAGTAGATTGCTATCCTTATCTCATCTCTGAGGAATAGATACTCATTTTATGAAGGAAATTCGTTTACAACAAAATTCGAGAAATCTTCGTAGCAAAAATTGAAAAAAGAAATTCAAGCTCCTTGTTCACCTTTCATAAATATCACAATACAGTTCGCGAAGACCGCATTTATTTTCGCCTGTATTCTGAGAATAATATTCCCTTTCGCAGAAGCTGGAATTACGTTTCGTTTATCTCCTCGCAAGCTGCGAGGCGAACGCTCTCAATTTTCCATCACTCGTGCTCCGCCTCCGCCAAACCTCGTCGTATTGAACTGGAAAGATGCCAAGGAACATAGGTCACAGAAATCTCATCAAAAGGTTGCGCCCGCGGAGAGCAGAAGGAAAAAAAGAGAAACGAGAAATAAAAGTCCCTTCCTTCCTTTGTCACTCTACTATTGCCCTTCCCTTGTAAACTCTTTCCTCTCATGTTATCTTCCCTATACACTCCTCTGCTTTCCTGCCGTTCCCAGTTTCCTTCGTTCGATTTTTCTTCTCTGTTGTTGAGGGAGCGTTCAAATCGTCTCTCTACCTTACAGTACAGTGCTGCGCTCCTGGTGACTTGAAAGAAAGGTCGTTCCTCGAAGAAAGAGCAATAATGTGTTATTGCTGAGTTAATGTTTTTTAGAAATTTTGCTTTTCTGTAGGAAATGGAAATAGAGATGTGTGCATTTTTCTCTTTACCACAGCGGACAAATGAGGTTGGAAGTTGATAATAGATCCTAAAATGAAGTTAGTGCATTAAAATTTAAAATAAACAGAATCTATTTCAGTTTCATGATACATTAATCTTTTGAGTAAAAACACATTTCTCTCAAGTATTGTAATTAATAAATTCTATAATATGTAGTATTAAATAGTAATAAATTAGTACAAATAAAAGGCCAAAGATGAAATATTTTAAAAACAAAATTTAGTCAGTATTCGAGAATATCGAACAATATTATAAAAAAATTATTATCTTTATTTGGTAAAATTCTAAAATAAGATTCGAAAAACAAGTCCCACTTTATCAAGACACTCAATATGAAGATGGAGCGGCCTTAAGTACATTAACTACGTTCTGTTATATAGAATATATTTGATACCGACTAAATCGGTTGGATAGGCACACGAATTTCATTTTATCTCCTCCTTAATTGTTCAATTTCTATTAGCGTTACTTATGTATTCATTATTCATTTCATTTGTCTATTATTTTAATATCAATTATTCCGTCACTGTCACACAGAAAAATGAATGCGGGGGAGAACACCGCCACCTCTCATGATAAAAACGTGCACTACCCTTACGGGACTAATAACCATAGCAGATAACGCGTCCGGAAACATGAAATAATCACCGGCAAAAGTTTAGGGAGGCCAGGGCATCAATTGGTCAGCGCAGAGCCTCTGAGCGGGAGGTCCTAGGGAACGAGTGCCGACGGCGACAGGGTTTTCGACACTATAATACGTTGAGTTCAGTCGCTGTCTGGAGGAGACTTCTAGGAACTGGCTGTTCTGCTCGGTAGTTTTCCATATTTCTCCGATTCTCACCAGCTAAATGCCGAAGCAGATACAGTAACAAACGGGCCACAGACCACGCGATCTTTTCTTCCTCTTCCGTGCCCTACTTACTCACACACTCAAAAGCACAGTACTCGTGGCTGTCGGGAGCTTAGAGCTTGTCATGGCTGGGGCGATGGCCCTTTGGTGGGATATTCCTTGTTAGGAAAAATCCCCGCAATCCGACGAAGATTGGCACTGCATCTCGCTATCCAGCTGGGAACGACCACAATAAAGCATGCACTACACTTACGGTAGTAACGATCGTACCCGTTGCCGCGCCCGAAATCACTAATCAATCAGTGAGGCGAAGCGCGGGCACTGAGAGCGGGGATGTGCGGTGCGGTGCGCAGGGCGTGACGGCGGCCGGCTGGGCGGCGGCGGCGGCGCTGGCCTGGGCCTCCTTCCTGCAGCCGGCCTTCATGGGGTCGCCCGCTTATGCGTACGACGCCGGCGACGCGGCGCGCTACTCAGCGTTCGCGCCCATCGGCTGGTGCCTCGCCTTCTGCTGGGTGCTGCTGCTGGCGCACCTGGGCCGCGCCGGTAAGTGCTTGGTGGACGCTCCAGCGCCGAGTTGCTCTTACGAAAGACCCCCCCCCCCCCGTCCCGCGGCTTCGGGAAGGAAGCACGGGGCAGTGCCTGAAAAGTTTAATGAATTTCAAATATATTTTTTAAATATTTTTTAAATATGTGTCAAAAAATCTAAATAATACATAATATCATATATAGAATATTAGGAGGGAGAGATCGATGCCGCATTTGAGAAAAAACGTTTTAAAAAATGCCTTTATTTCGTGTAAATATACGCAAAACCTACTCATTTTTTCGAAAAATTGTACATGACCTTATTTTATGATGTCTTTAAAGTACAGATTTAATTCATAAAAAAGCATGATCTTCAATATTGTAGTTCAAGGAAGACGCTGAAAAATTTGAACGTTTGCAATTATCGAAAAATCAGACATTTTTACAAAAATGATGACTCTATCATTCACTTGAGCATTGTTCACGCTATTCGGGAAAACACTTTAAAAAAATATTTGCAGCCCTTTTTGAAAAACTTTTGAAAATGTTGAGGGTTAATGTAAAGTATCCTTAAAAATCAAAATATCCGTTTTAAACTTCGAGGGCCTTGAGTTCGTTTAAATCTAAGAGAATATCAGTCTTGGAGAAAATTGGCTGAACGCTTTAGTCGCTAGCTTTCACGACAGACAGGTGGACATACAGACATTTTGCCGTCAATCAAATTTTTCGATATCGAGGACCCACAAAACATAGATCTGAGGGTATAAAATATTTGAAGACATAACTCACTATATAGTATATTAACAAGATTCATCCACTTTTTCGTCACCAGGGCCTGGCAATAAAAGTTTTTCTGTCGCAAATTCGCCGTTTTCCGGCGCACGATAGCAATACATTATCTTCCTACGAAGTAAGGGCGAGAAAGTAAAAAAATCCAAACATTTGTCGCAATTTTGATTATATTTTGAAACAGTTGTTGAGGCTTCGTAAGAGTTGTTGAGGCGCGTAAAGTGCTCCAAAAACTATGAATATCTGTTTCAAATACGCAGGGCTTCGATCGTGGCCAGACGATCAGGCTAAGTCAATTTCAGAGAAAATCTTCTGAACACCTTAGGTGCTAGTGTTCATAACCGACGAACAGAGGTTTTTCCATAACAACTTTTACTTTCTTGCATATTACTTACATAGAAAAAGAAAAGTATTGTAATGCTGCAAAAGATGACGATTTTTCGACAGAAATTGTTGTATTCCAATCCCCAAAGTAAAGACAAGTTTTGTTAAAAAAACTAAATTATTCACTGACTGGCATTCTCGCATCAACCATCAACATTTCATTGCATAAATATTATATATATATATATATATATATATATATATATA